GGATATTGGGAAGGAATTCTTGGCTGGGAGGGTGGTGAGGTTGCCCAGAGCAGCTGTAGCTGCCCCTGGATCCCTGGGAGTGTCCAAGGCCACTTGGACAGGGTTTGGAGCCACCTGGGCTGGTGGGAGGTGTCCCTACCCATGGCAGGGACAAGATGAGCTTTAAGGTCCTTTCCAACCCAAACCATCCCATGATCCCCCCGGCTGCAGTTGCAGTTTTACCCCCAGTGTGTGGTTTGAGCCCCTCTGGCTCTCAGGGGGCTCTGGGGGGCTCAGCCATGGGGAGTCCCTGTGGCCAAGGGATGTCTCAGGAAGAGTTTGGGGCTGGGGACAGGGCAGGACAGGTTGGTCCCTGTGTGTGGCCGTGGTGCTGTCCTGGCCCTGCTCCCTCCACATTTCCAGGAGCGCTCCCTGCTGTGCCCGATGATGGAGGCTTCTGTGGGGCACCAGTTCCTGGTGCTGGTGCCAGCCCATGGCCTCAGGCAGTGCCTTCCCTGCCCAATGCCTCCTTTCCCACAATGTTCCCTGCTGCCAGCCCCTTTACACCTCACCTGGGAAAATCAGCTCCCACCCCCTGCCCGCATTTGGTCCCATCAGTGCCCTGGCAGTGCCCTGGCAGTGTCCTGGCAGTGTCCAGCAGCTGCAGCCTGGGAGCATTTTTCCTGCCCCACTTGTGAGAGGAGGGTGGAACTGGTCAAACCAGGCACCCCTTTAATTTTTTATCCCAGGCTTTCTCCCTAGGAAGGGCTCACAGGAGCAGCTGGATAAATCCTTCCTCTCTTGTGCTGCCAGGGAGGGCATCATTTGGGTCCCTCTGGTGCCACCAGGGCAAGGGAGTGGAGTGAGGGAGAGCCTCAGTGTGTTGTGTCCCCTGTGGGACGTGGCTCCTGGAGCTGCTGATGCCTTTGGATCTTGGCATTGTCGTTTCATGAGAGAGGGGAGGAAGTTCAGGTTGGATCTCAGGGGAAGGTTCTTCCCCCAGAGGGTGGTGGGCACTGCCCAGGCTCCCCAGGGCAGTGGGCACGGCCCCAAGGCTGCCAGAGCTCCAGGAGCGTTTGGACAACGCTCTGAGGGACAGGGGGGGATTGTTGGGGTGTCCTGAGCAGGGCCAGAGGCTGGGTTGGATGATCCCTGTGGGTTCCTTCCAGCTCAGGACATTCAAAGTTTCCATGGTGCTGCAAAGGGCGAATTTGGGACCTTGAGAGGCACCAGCAGAGCCCCTTCCCACTGCCCTGGGCTTGTCCTGGTTTGCCAAGCACTGGAGCAGGGGAAGAGCTTATAGCAGGTACCAGGGTAAATCTGGGGGGGTGACATGGGAGTTGCAGGCACCTCTCCCTGGACAGCCTGATAGGGGCTGGCACCTGCTTCAAAAAACATCACTTTTGATGGTTCTGCCCTGCCCCACTCCTGGGCTGTTGCTTTCCCTTCCGTGTGCCCCAGCCATAAACCCACCAGGGGTTAGTGCTGCCCAAGAGCTGGGCTGGCCCCCCCAGGGCAGCTGCTGCTGATCACTTACTGTGACAGGTTTTTACTTCTTGTCGTCCACGATGTTTAATTCTCTGGGAAATGCAGCAGGAATAGCACAGCTCCTGTTTGCCCTCTGGCTGCTGGGGAGCCTGGATTGATTTACCTGGTTGAGACGGGACTGACTGAAGGTCTTGTGCCTTCTCAGCCCTGGCTGAGTCACAGAATCACAGGATGGTTTGGGTTGGGAGGGACCTTAAAGCCCATCCAGTGCCACCCCCTGCCATGGGCAGGGACACCTTCCACCAGCCCAGGTGGCTCCAAGCCCCATCCAACCTGGCCTTGGACACTCCCAGGGATCCAGGGGCAGCCACAGCTTCTCTGGGCAACCTGTGCCAGGGCCTCACCCTGGTGACCTGACCCTGCCTGGGTTCCAGGTGCCCACCAGAGCCGCTCCACCACTGCCCTCCACAAGTGGACAGGGGAGAGAAAATCTAACAAAGGTTCATGACTTGAGACAGGGACAAGAAGAGATCCCTCACTGATCACCAGCACAGGCAAAACAGACTCCACTTGGGGATATTAATTGAATGTATTACCAACAAAATCGGAGCGGGACAATGAAAAAGCAAATAAGTCTTAAAAACCTCTTTCCCCACCCCTCTCTCTCCTGGGCTCTCCCTCCTCCTCCCAAGGATGCAGGGAGATGGGAATGGGGGTCATGGTCAGTTTATCACAGATTTGTTGCTGCTGCTGCTCAGGGAGAGGAGTTGGAGTCCTTCCCCTGCTCCAGCCTGGGGTCCCTCCCACGGGAGACAGTCCATGAACTTCAGCGTGGGTCCCTTTCCACGGGGCCAGTCCTTCAGGAACAGCTCCAGTGTGGGTCCCCCACAGGGTCACAAGTCCTTCCAGCAAACCTGTTCCACGTGAGCTCCTCTCCCCTGGGGCTGCAGGTCCCTGCCAGGACCTGCTCCAGCACGGCCTTCCCAGGGCTCCCATCCTGCTGTGGGCACCCCCTGCTCTGGGATGGGCTCCTCATGTGCACCCCCATGGCCCCCCAGGGGCTGCAGGGGAACCTCAACTCGAGCCTGGAGCCCCTCCTGCCCCTCCTCCTGCGCT